TATATATATATATATATATATATATATATATATATATACATACATATATTATTTTTCCAGAAAGACACACACTATATCAAATAAATATAAGTGAACTTGAAACAAGAAATAAGTTGTGAAACATTCTTTATTGTTTGGACGTGTGCTGTTTCATTTCCTGTGTTTTGGATTGAGTTCATTAAAAAAGAAAAGCATACATCGACACAGAAAAAAGCTAACATCAGTCGTGCAAAAGTGTAACCACCAAACCATCCAAATCTTAAAAAACAGAACTACTGTGATCAGTTGAGATTAGTATTTATGTTACAGTGATAAAATATGCAAACAAAGTTTGCTTGTACAACACATCGGCACCGCTTCACAAATCAGGCGCACTGATAAGTATGTGCAACAATAACGATACTGTGGTGTAGATCTAAATAAACATTACTATAAAAATAGAAATCACATTAAGTTATTTCAAAATAATACAAGCATTCCCATTTTGAGAACATATTACCTTCAAATTAATCTTCTTTTTTCTATCAAATTAGTTTACCTGCATTTCACAATTATTTACATCTAAAACCAAGAGTGAACCTATTTAAATTATCTTAGTAACAAAAACGGAACTGAAGGGTTTATGTAAAGTTAGATTGGAGAACACATGTTTTGTGTTAGTGTCTCAACATGGTCCCAGCATGTCAATGCAACAGTTAAAGATCCAGTTACTTTACCAAATAACATTTAATCACATTTACAAGCCACAAAAAGAGCAGAAGAGCTAATGTGTTCGTTTTGGGATGCTAATGCTCTGTAAATCGCAGCACGGCTTTGTAACAGCTGTAAAACTTTGCACACAGACCTCTGTTGTTATTTGTTTTAAAAAGTGAAATGCAGTAACAAAGCAGTTCATTATAGTGCATGCCATGCCTGTGTTATAAATTATGACTTTTTGGTCTAGGAGATTTTCTCTCTGATAAAAAAAAAAAAATCCCTCAAAAGTCCTGAAGGTCCATTTCTAGTGCAAAACACCTCTATGCCACAACTTAAAAACTTAAATAGTGAAAAATACCTCCATCTTCACCACCTTTGGAATAAACTTCACCATACTGTTCATACTTCTGTTTCCCTTCCTTAAAATGCATCACATTGATTCAACAAAACTTTACATCACCGTGTATAATACAAGCAGCTGACTTTTACGCCATTTCTGGGATGTTCGTGCACTTTGATAATTGGATATGCTGTGACAGGGAGCCACTTGATGCTGTGACACTAGGTGCACTACTACCAACAACATTAAAGTGGAGCTACTTTATAATTTTCTTTGTGAGTGTTTTAGCATTTTAAAAGTGGATTAGCTTCTTACCATGTTAGTTCAAAAAAACCTTCATGTTGTAAGATTTTTTCAAAGTTAATTCATTAAGATTTTCATTTAGCAAACAACCTTACTTCCTTCCTTGGAGAAATATCAGAATGATGGAGGTAGCAATGAACTAAGGCATATTGGACATAGTGAGGGCAGAGGCATCGGCACTACGGGGATCTTTCACCCCGATGATGAGATCATTGGTTCTCCGTGTGCCCTCCACCAAGGAAAGAATGTCCATCCTTTCAACCATGTGTCCTTTCGCCTGCAGCAGCTCCACGTCGTCCTCTAAAAACTCGGCTGTAGAAGAGGTAGTAGACAAAAGAAGATAATAATAAAGGTTGAGACTTAAGGTTTAGAAATTGTCTTCTTTTGCAATTCAAAGCTCTTAATGGGTGCAGCAGTCAAAACATGTTTGTACTGTATTAGTCCTTACAGTATTTTACAGCTTTAAGATATATTTATCAGGATCATAATCTTTTATTGTAGGAGCATAGTCAAACATTGCATTAGGAACAAAAAAACTCTAATTGGAGTACATTTCTGTGTATGTTTTAAGTACTATATATAAGCTTCATTTTGCCAGCGATACAGCCTCCAAAGTACTGGGTCCTCTCTTATGCTTAGCCCTCTATATAGTATTTATTACCAGAGAGGGTCAGATCATTACTCCACTGGACAAACATGTGTTGTCTCATCTCCAGTTTTTAGGTGCAGTATTCCAGCCTTTCATAGAATTTGAAGGAAGAGTTGATAGTGTACACACTGAAAAGGTCTCTAAAGCTTTTAGAAGAGAACTAGGGCAAAATCATTGCAGTTCCTCCACTAAGCCCAACACTGGTCTGCAGTGTTCTTCATACTTTTGTTTCAAGTTACAGTTTTGCATTTGCAGCAGAGCGAGAATGACCAACTGAAATAAGGAAGTATCTGATAGTTTTATGGAGGCAAGGTGAACACACAATATTCCATTTTAGCTGCAGTTTTCCAAGAATGAAGTTTGTTCATATTTTATAATAACTGAATTGAATTAGAAGCTCTCCTTTCTACAAGCGAGTATGAGATGTGTGAATGTAAGCATGCATATCCTAAAAGGCTACTTGTGATTCATCAAAGAAGAAAGTCATAAAATCAGTAAATCATGTTGACGGGACAAAAATCCACCCTAAAAGCAAACAGCAACTCTAAAGGTTCAACTTGACTGTATTTATTTAATCAAAGACAGGGGGAAACTTTTCTGCTGTTAAAGATATTTTTAACCTAACTTATTATTATAATTTTTTCATGATAATGAACTGAATGCATCTGCCCCTAAATATCAAGCCAGTTTTAATGTTACCAGATCCAGAATTTTCTACTATTGGGAGTGATACAGATAGTAATATCAGATCTGTGCATCTCTACATGACATGTTCATACCCCAGGAAAAACAAAGGTGCAGCAATAAACCTTAGACTTTCCTAGAAACTCTGATTAACTGAAAAAGGTGAAACATATAAAAAAATATTGTTCAAGTTGGATATAATTTAAAGGAATTCCTCAGGGCCCTGATATTTCTGTATTTTTATGAAAAAAGGATCTATTCTATCTGTGCATGGGAGGTTTTTTTTCTCTGGGTGAATACATTTCTATCCAGACTCCAAGGCAGGACTGAGAACCCAGTCATGGCGGTCCACCATTATTAGCTATTTAATATGCAGAAACACACAGCATAGCAGAGGATAGATACCCACATTTTTTATGGTTTAAAAAATATAATTAAAGTAAAAAAAATATTGAAGAATAAAAAAAACTGCTTGGTAAAAACATCTCTTAAGCACAGACTAATTAATAATAACAACCTTATTTGTTAGTTAAAAAAAACAAAGTAATCAAATAGACAAGAAATATTATTGAGTTTAATACAAATTACAGTAGAAAAATACAAAATAGTATTTTAGCAGAAGAAACACTTTAAATCATTTTAAATTCTTTCTAAAAATAAATCTTATGAAACCAAAGGTCCATTGCTAACTTTAGATTAATTTAATCTCTGTCTCAGCAGAAGCTAACATTAAAACAACAAAAGAGTAGGAGTGTATCTGCTTAAATTATGGTAAAAAAAAAAAAAAATCAGTTCTTCTTTCACTAAAGCTACTGATTGATAAGATCTTATTTTAGTAAAGTTACTGATTGTGAGTATGTATATATATATAAATTTATTATAAAAAATGCCTGAATCATTTGTGGTGGGCCATTAACGTGCTGTGCTAACGCCAGACCCTTATCAGGCACTAGAAAAAAATTGCTGTTAATCTATTCTCAAAGTTGGGTTGTAAGCTAGGTCTATGACTCAGGTATTAAAAATACCTGAATCATTTGTGTATGTGTCTTGGACCAGACAAGACATGTAGCTGGAACAATTCTTTTTACTTTTTAAAATCAAAATATTGGCTGATCGTATTGTTTGTTTTACAACCCGGGAAGTGCAGCACAGACATTTTAAGCCTTCTTTACATTCTGCTCAGCACTGATAACTAGACACCTGACACCTGGTACTTTTGTTTGCTAGAGTCAAGCTTCCTTCTTATAAGTGTACTCATCTACTTTACAAAGAGTGCAGATAAAGGTCTACACATATGGACAGGTGCAGTCAGTAACAGTACATATTTCAAGCAGAAGCAGGAGGGGCAAACTATGGTAAGCAGTTATTGGTAGTTTAGAGAAATACATTTTACTTAACACATTAAATTAAACTTAAAGCTTCATCAAAAAGTCTTAGCTACATTCTAAATACTTTACTATTATTTTCTCCTTATCTTGAGATCTAACTTTTACCTATATGATACTTTATTAATGACCTAGAAATAAAACCTTAATTCAATGTGTTGCCAAATCAGACAAAAAATTAAGTTGGAGGGGAAAAAACTCACCATCCACCAGGAGTGTGTTTGGCTCCAGCTGTGGGTGGAGTCTTCCATAAGCTAAACTGTCACTCATGTTTTTGCGTGAAGACAGAACATTCATTAGTACCTATGGAGGAGTAGGAACAATTTTTAATTAAATCAAAAATAAATTGGTGTTCATGATTTTTAGTAGAGTTAAGTGTGAGTGTACTCAGAGTGAATAAATAACCTGTGTGATGCCACTGAGAGCTTTCTCTCCATTTGAAGAACCAACAGCTACATATGTGCCGCATAACCCCACAGCTGGCCTCACTGCTGTGGGCATCAGGAAGGACATGGGCCTTTTTCCAGCCTGTATGCTGTTATGCTGCAGAAAGAAGGAAAACAAAGATTAGAGCCATAAGAAAATATAATTGATAATAGAAAAAACAAAAATATGTCACAATAAATGCTATACATACAGGGTTAGGTAATGAGCTCAGTGTTTTATTAGGCCAAGAAAAGTCCAGTATCTGGCTATTCAACAGGATTCCTGAAGACGTCACTATTCCACTGCCAAACGGTTTGTTGAGTGAGCTAAAATATATAATCACACAAATATCAGTTTTAAAACTTGTTCTGTTTATTGATTCTTAATTTTTATTTTGTCTTAAACTAAGAATAAGCCGTACCTGACAACTGAGACAATGTGGTCATCTGGGCCCATGACCATGACCTGTGCAGCTGCTGCACCATCTTCCATTGTAAATGCTGAAGTGTAATGGCTGACAGGGAACGCTTGGGAGTCGCTGATCATCTGGCGAAGAACGGAAGCCTGTGGTTTACTGGAAGACCAAAAGGTAGGAGCTCTTTAAAAGTGTCTTACTGAGCAGGAAGTAGGTTTAGCCTTTCAGAAGGAGGGTTGATTTCTACCTTAGCATATTATCAACAATCTCTGATACCGAAGCGTCAAACATAGGGTCTCCTAGCCCACTGGCAAGGGCCAATGCTATCTTCACAGCCTGGGTAGGATAGATGCAAAAAGTAAAACATAGGAAATCAGAAAGAAATTAGAATCAGGATTCCTTTTTAGTTAAACTATAACTTACCTCTGCAATCCAGTGGTAGGTGCTATTCCTGGGCATTTGGCTCGTAATATTGTAGCCTTCAAGGATGTTGAGTGCAGTGATCAAACCAACACCCGCATGTGGGGCTGGGGCTGCCATGACATGATGTCCTTCAAAAAACAATCACAACATGGAACATATATTAAATCTAAAGTGGAGAAAGACATCTGGATTGGTTCTACTGTTGTAACCAAAATGCCTATGGTATATGCACATTCATTAATTTAAAGTAACAAGCGCATGTACAGTTAATAATATAAAATCATGCAGCTAGCAGGACTCGCCGATAAAAACGACTTTATCGATTAATCAAATTTTTGTTTCTAAAGATTTTATTTCTGAAAAATCTGGAATTATTTTTCACGTCTTTAAAGTGACATAAAGTGACATCAGTTCACCAGTTTTTTTTTTTATTAGATGGTTACTCATAACTGATAAACTAACTCACTGTGTGACACAACTAGCTGCAAATACTGAGTTTTACATTTTCATTGTTTTTAGTAAGACCAAAACAAAAGTATGGGCAGTGATTCACTGCTTCAATTTTGTTCCCCTTTATTTAGGGTCAGCTTTTAGGGGAGATGGTTGAAAACAAAGCTAGTTTTGAAAGCTTTATATGTCATTTTTCAATTTTATTATGAAATTTAACTGAGAAAAAAAAAAGATGAATCAGATTTGGTAGGGAAAAAAAATCAGACATTAGATTTTTAAGCTGTATCCCTCAGCCCTACTAAATAGTAAATAATATCATTGTTTTCTTTCTAGGAAATACAGTATCAGCTCCAACTGTGTCAAACCTAAGAGAGATCCTGGAAACACAAAGGAACATTACACTGAGCCAGACCAGGTTAAGTCAATATTGTACTTTAGGTGTTCCTCAGACAGATCAGGTGGATATAAAAAAAAAATGTTAGAACTGTAAATGTACAGTCATTTTTACTATTTTTCAAGGCTCCACTTTTAAAAGATGAAATTGTCCAGTGTTTCCAAACGAAATTTATTTTTGTTTTACACTTGTGTAAACAAAATGACAAATAAAATCTGTCTAAAGTCTAAAAAAATTTATGATCCTATACCTTGATAGGTGATCTCTGCTGGCTTTTGTATGACAGTACTGTAGTTCCCAAAGTCCTCCTCCATCAGGACACCGCCTCTAGCTTCCACCTGTTAAAAAGTCAAATCAAGTTAAACATGCTTACAGGTGTTGCTTTTTTAGCATATCTTATTTGTGAAACAAAGTAAGCAGGATCTTGTACAGCTTCTACCTTTAATGACTCTATTTAAACTGTGACTTTTTTTCTTGGTAGGGTTAAACATGTCCTCCTGTTGCATAACACTAATTGTTCATGGAAGACAAAGATCAGAGGTTTTCACTGTCCTGGAAATAAAACAGTCTGACTGGACTGTAGTATCTGTCAGCACTTTCCTTCCTCGCTGTTTTATTGAGAACCATCTCATCCAACTCCACAGTAAAGATTTTGCGAGATAGATCCAAATAAAATTAAAGGGTAAGAGCACTGCTGAACTGCAGAGACATACAGCACAAGTGATCGAATGTGTTTGCAGGATATCTATGAATTAAAACCTGGTGTTTATGGAAGATCAAGCAGAGGAAAGTTCTTAATTCGCAAACCAAGACGTATCGACACCTATTCACAAATCTTTTTCGGTTTTGAATGAAGTGCTCGCTAACTTGACCACTAAATGAGATGTTCTGACTTCCAGCAACAGCAGCTTCTGTGTTTCGGTTCATAATAACAACAATATTGTATTAATATCATTTCCTCAACATTAATCATGCTATCTGCAGCTTATCCACCAAAGACACCCAATCTGTAGCATCATGTATTTGTCGAAAATCTTTTCTTTATGTAGATTATTTGAATGTGTCTTACTGCACCAGCTGTTTGTGATATTGCTGTTCCTATGTTATTAAACTTAATAATCCACCTCATGTAGTGAATGATTACTGAGTGAATTATACAACAAAATGAAAGTACAATTAGACTTTTGGCCCCAGCTGGATAAAAGTGATTTTTGGATGGACACTATGCAGAGTTAGTTACTTGCTGATATAATCAGAGTTAAATAATTTTCCCTTACTGCAGCCACCATTTCCTTTGTCAGGTCCCCAGTATAGAACTCTGATATTCCTTTATCTGCAACGGCATCCAAAATGGCTGCTAAATCAAGACGTCTGGTAAACAGTCCTGACAGGGGAGCCTGACCGTTGGGCAGGAACAAATCCCGAAATGCATCTGACACATTCTGATTCTTCACTTTATTCAGAGCTTCCGCTGCAAAATAACAAATGGATAAAAGAGAGAGCAAGATGAGATTACGTCAGAAGTTTGTGTGCCTTCACTTTATGTTGTTTGGGCGTTTACAATGAGCTTCGCTTCAATCTGCACAAACGAGTAACAGTAAGGACAATCAGCTGCCCCCAGTGTTTGGCCTGATAATTATCTATAATTACCCAAATCATGAGTCACATTGAATCCATTTCTGGCAACATCTGCTGCCATGGAAACAACATCCTTCCATGGTAACCTAGCAGAAAACAGAAGATCAAGTCAACAAAAAACTTAATAAACATGCTAGCACTCTAAGGTAACCCTTTCAAACTGGTAAACCGAGATATGAAGTGTTATAAAATATGCTAAAAAATGATATTAACACAGAAGCCGAAAAATCAATATTGACAAATTTGCTCTGAGATCACACAGATCTAGCTATTTCTTATCTGAACACCCTGGCTTAAAATATTTGTGGCTGAAGTCATCTTAAAATGTTTAAATATAATAGAATATACTAAATATTTTTTATTTAATTTAAATAATGTAAAAAACTAAGGCAACTAAAAGAGCAATTAAATCAATAATACAAAAGATGAAATTTAATGTAATATTGAGACCATATAATGGCTAATATCAAGTATTATAAGGAATAACGTTGAATATTGACCTGCCGTAAAGCTCGTGAGCTTGATGCATCCCGCTTAGCATTCCTGGCACTCCTACGGTTAATCCAGACTGAAAACACATCATATGAACAACATGTTAATTGTATTAGAGAGAGACCGTCAGCTGGCTAATGCAAAGCGATGAAAAACGTACGTTAAGGTCGAGGTTTGTGAGAAGCATTTCTTCATTGATGGCAGATGGTGCGGTCTCTCTGAAGTCAATCACTCTTGTCTCATTTTTACGGATGTTGTGAACCAACATAACACCTCCACTAAACATCAAAGAACCAATGCAGGAAACAGTTTCACAAACTACATCTTTTTATGTAAAAATGTCCAAGATAATGTAAGCTTTTGTTACTTTACAAATATGCAGCATGAATTACCCTCCATTTACACAAAAACAAGTTTGTAGATGAACATTTAAAACTATAAAAGGGCTCATAGGGAATTTTCTGTTAAGCGCTGCCGTTTGTATAACTCACCCTCCAATGCCAGAGGTGTGAGGATGCACAATTCCCAAACATAGAGAAGCAGCAATGGCAGCATCCACACTGGACCCTTGCTTTGCCAAAACATCAAACCCAAGAGATGTACACTGAGCTACATCCGTCACCACTGCTCCCTGGTTAAAGACCTTAAAACACAAAAAGGAGAACAAAGCTGAAGGAAGTACACCTCTGTTAAGAAATGGCTTATATGGGTGTAGTAAAGTTTCTCATAATCTTATAATTATTACTTTGAGAGAAGCAGAAGTGTTACAGTGTGGCTCACATTAAATTAGCAATACCAGATCAGTACCTGTGGATCGCCAAAGTAGATCTGCATTATAAGAGCCACGGTGACCCCAGTAGCGAAGGTGAGACAGGCTGTGATTATGACTGTCAGGCCATCCCGCTGACAGGCACAGTCCTCTGTAAAAGGGTCAATGGTGGTCTCCCTGAGCGAGGCAACATCCTGGCCGGCCAGGTCTGAAGCTGAGGAGGGGAGACGCTGCAGGCGAGCCGACTTCAGAAACAGATCTGGGTCTGTAGGAAGTGAAAAGTAAGGAAAAAAAGCAGGTGGAAACAATGGTACAAAAATGTGACTTTTTCCCCCTCTAAATGACTACAAAATGTAGTAAAATTATTAAAACTAATCCTCTGTGACTGATTTATTACAATGGTATCAACTTTAGATGTAAAATGAACTGGGAAGATAAGCTTATGTTGACATCCTGACATCACCCACCTGTGTCCTGCTCACTCAGGACGTTGTCATCATCTTTGCGGCTTTTGAGGGTGTTTTCTCCAGACATCTCATCCTCTGGAAGTCTGGGGAAGCTTGTGATGCTCATGTAGTCCACCGGAGAGTAGGCGCTTCCCAGGGTTGTTTCAGGATTGGCATCTTTATCCACAGCACCTCCAGCCGGGTAGGCTGCCACAGCTTCTGGAGCAGGGTTGTTCATGACTTCAAGCAGATCCTTGCTTTCTAAATCTTCAAAATAAGCCAGAAAATCCATGTTTGTACAAACGTGTCGTGAAACAGAGAGATTTATGGATATTTCCTCCTCCTATATGCGCTACTGGTGTTTGCGATGACGCTGAAATCCGGAACCTGCAGCTTCCTTTATTTAAACGCTAATATATACAAATTCCCAAGCAGGGATTTGTAGTTTTTAATGAATTGTTGGCACTTTTAAGATAATCGCAGCTGGATTTGATTGGAAAATATTTATAGAAGGCCGGAGAAGATGCGTGTCGCTCCAATAATGGTGCATTTGCCTGAGGATAATAACAAACCATGCAGATTGACTACTTTTAGATAAGCACTTTCCTTCACTGAGCTCTGGTAGGATTTAAACACTTTAACACATGAGACAACACGTTTTCTGAACAAGTAAATGAACAAATATGTTTGTTTAGATTAGAAACAGTCGCATTATTCCCAGCCCCGCTACCAGCTAACGCATCTCTCCATATAAGCGCTGCTTCTAAGAGCGTATAAATATCCTGAAGGCCTACCTTTGTTGTAAAATACATGTTGTTTAGTAGAGGTATTCCTTGGTGTTGTTTTTAAACGGAGCAGGTGAGGAAGAAGGACGGAATCACTCCCCGCAGTCAGACGCACAGCAGCCACAGCTCAGCGATCTGAAGCTCGCCTCCTATTGAGTGTCGGCACAACCGGTAAGACTTGTTGGGGTTAATTCCTGGAGTGTGTCTCGCAGTTTTTAAAATGCCCTTAAATATATCCAAATGGTAATTTCAGAAACATTCGATACCTGCCTGGGGAAGAAATTGTAAATAACCTCCATATATTCTTCAGGTGCGGCGGATGTATTCTCTATATCAATGTCAGACTTACTTCAAAGGATGAAGTGGAGGCCTTGAAGGTCGACTGAAATCTGCGTTTCTGGGAATAGGAAATCCTGCAGCTATTTGCACATCTACATTGGTAAAATATCCAGAGGGGTGAGGGGTGGGCTTCTTAGGTCATACTATACGTCCCCGCCTGGGAGTATTGATAAACTGGATAAAGTGGATAAACAGGTCACAGCAGGTGCAGCTCAGCTTTAAACCCTCCCATTTAAGTATTTGCTCTTTCTTTGTCCGCTGAGAACAGAGAAAGACTGCAATAGTTTCAAATGTCAATCTGTAGTTACTTTCACTCTCTCTCCCTCTTTGTTTAGAGTATTGACTTCATGTGAAATAAAAATAAATAAAATACTGAATGTAAATTTATCTACTGGGCATTTTGTTATGGATAATATATCCTTTTTAACTTTAATCTCAAAAATCTCAAAATTCTGACTTTTTTCCCTCAGAATTCTGACTTTTTTCC